CTTTGCCTTACAGAAGCTTCCCAGTTTCAGGAGGTCCCATTTATTAATTTTTGATCTGAGTGTCTGTGCTACTGGCATTATGCTCAGGAAGTAGTCTCCTGTGCCAGTTCATTCAAGGGTACCTCCCATTATCTCTACAAAGAGGTTAATTGTGGCTGGATTTATGTTGAGATCTTTGATCCATTCAGACTTAAGTTAGTACATGGTGATAGATATGGATCTATCTGCAATCTTCTACATGTCCACATCCAGTTATGCCAGCACCATTTGTTGAAGACACTTTCTTTCTTCCATTGTATAGTTTTAACTTCTTTGTCAAAGATCAGTTGTTCGTAGGTGTGTGGGTTAATATCAGGGTTTTCAATTCAATTCCATTGGTCTACCTGTCTTGTGCTCTAGGGTTAAAGACTGGCTCCACTGTTAGAGGTCCCACAGACCATCTTGGGCTCCTAGCTGGCACCCACATTCAGAAGGCTTGGTTCAGTCCAATGCTGTTTCCCCAGCTTTATGGCTAGTGTCTCCATGCTCTCACTAGGTCAGGTCAACTATCTCTGTGGGTTGCTGTAGTACTGTCTTGGCTTCTTTGCTCATCCCCTCTCCCTTTCCTCAATTGAATTTCAAGGGTATGTTTCAGTGCTTAGCTGTGGATACTTGTTTCTGTTTTGAACAGCTACTGGATGAAGGCTCTAGGAATGGTAACCAAGGTAGACACAAATCTCATTATAGGGGAAGGGCACCAATGGCATTTTCTCCACCACTTTTTGGATTCTTAGTTGGTGTCATCCCTGTGGATCCCCTAACATTTCCCCTGTTTCAGACCTCTCTCCATATCTGTATTGTCTCCCTATATCAAGGCATCTCCTTTCTTGTCCTCCTCTATTCCTCCCCTCTCTCAGGCCTCTTGTTCTCCTCCCCCATTCCCTTTCCACCTTCTTCCTCTTCACCCATGCCCCGTGATTCCACTTTGTTCATGGGTTCTTTTCCCCCTCCCTTTCTTCAAGGTACTATGCAATCTTCTCTTGGGGTCCTCTTTGTTTCCTAGCTCCTCTGGCAGTGTGGATTGTAGACTGGTAATCCTTTGCTCTATGTCTAAAAATCATATATGAGTGAGTATATACCATGTTTATCTTTTTGTGACTGGGTTACCTCACTCAGGATGGTTTCCTCTAGTTCCATCCATATGCCTGGGAATTTCAAGATTCCATTGTTTTCTTTCTGTTGAGTAGTACTCCATTGTGTAAATGTACCACATTTTCTCTATCTATTCTTCAGTTGAGGGGCATCTAGGTTGCTTCCATGTTCTGGCTATTACAAATAGTGCTGCTATGAACATAGTTGAACATATGTCCTTATTGTATGAATGTGCATTCTTTGGGTATATGCCCAAGACAAGAATTGTTAGATCTTGAGGTAGACTGACTGTTCTCTTCCCATCTCTTCTTCTAATGGGTACAAGTGGGGCCTCTTCCTCTCCTGGTGTGTATGGGTTAAGTCTCTATCCACTCCTGTCTCCTGGAGGTTGCAGGGGTAAGACAGGAATGGCTTTCGATGCTGAATGCTTTTTTCTGCCTCATGGTTCCCCCTCTTTACTGGAGAGTCATGGGACAAGTCAGGAATTGCTGCCTTTGGTAGATGCTTTGTTTTGCCTCCAGGTCCCTCTGGGGGATTTGGTGGCAGGAAGGGTCTAGTGGCAGAAGGTCAGGGGACTTGAAGAGGGAAAGGTGTGCTGGGAGAACCGCAAGTTTGGTTTTATGTTCCAGACATTTTTTTCTCATCAGTTGATGACTATTTAACAGATATATTTTGTTTCTCTAATGATAAGCTGTTATAAAATGGCCAACATAATTCTGCATATGTTTGGTTATATAAAAAAAAGCATTTGTGTTCTAAAGTTTCATTGCTATTGTGTATCATGAAGATCAGTTATGTTTTTAAATAACTTTAAAGCAGACTTATGAATGATGAAATTAATGGTAGTGCTGTCTCTATCACTTACTGAGGAGTGGTCATCTCTAAAAGGCATCTAAATCAGTTTTCCTTTCTCCTTGCTTATCTTGTTGTTTTGTTTTACTTGTTTATTATATTTGTGGTCTCTTGTTCTTTGATTATTATTGTTACACATATGTAACTGCATCCTGAGTTCATTTATTGTTCCTTATATGTATTTGTGATTGGGTCTCACTTTTGGTGATTGGAGAAATTATCAGGGGCTTGTTCCTGCAGCAGACTAAGTTCCTTTTGTTTAGCTGTCATTAATTGTTCATAACTTTCCATTTAGGGGTGGGGCCTTGTTTTATTTTTGAGACCTGTTTTATTAGGTAGGTCAGGTTGGTTTCAAACTTGGGGTCCTCTCAATTCAGCTACTCAGGTGCAAGAATTACAGTCACACCTAAAACTCTTCATTTTATATAAGCTGACCGTTCCTACTTTAATTTATTTTTGTACTATGGTGGAAATCTCTTCATTTCCACTGTGAACAGTTAGTTTGAAAGAAAATTTCAGTCTCTGAGCTATTCTGTCTATCCATATGACCTAGAATTCAAACTCATTATGTGCCTGATTTTCTTGACCTTGTTAAATATGTACTATTGTTTTCTGCAATGGGGATTCAGTGGTAGAGAAAAATTATTAAACAATAAATCTGTTTACCATTGGTCCTAAACTTAAATGAATAGGAAAGTGTTATGGAAATAAAGTATTTTT